GCAGCTTTTGGAGATTTGCAGATCATGAAAAGCAAACGTAAAATTTTTATATATTGTTTCCAAATATAAATTAAATCCAAATATGTAGAGCACCGTTAAAAGTAAGAAATTTATTGTGTATTTTATTAAATAATTAAATTTATTTTCGTCTAGTTTTTATTTATTTAATTTCATTTTGGCACGAAAAATTGAAGTATTCTCAATCACCTCTCTTGTTATAAAATTTGAATTTTTTTTTAATCTAGCCGCATTCTTATGTGATACACATTTAAAACTCATATCATATTACACTTACATGTATACATCTATAAAAAAAATAGTTTTTTTATTTACTTATATTTTCACTTATGTATGTATGTATGTATAAGCCGCACCGGGTCAACTGGGGAACTGTGGCGCCGTTTAAATTCAAGCTGTTGGCAGCACCAGTAATCAATGCTAAATGAAACACCAGTTTGTCTGGTCAAACACTTTATAGTGTATTTGTACTGATGACATCTCTAGCAACAATATCAACAACAATAATAACACCTCCTACATTGTTTACTAATTGACAGGTACTATCGCAACTGATTTAAAATCAAATCGAAAATGTAATCGCAATCACAAACACCACTACAAACTCATTTGAATGTGTAAAAATATGTTACATATACATACACATATGTATGTTTTTATATAACATATATGTATGTACATACAGTGTTTTCCTTACCTTGCCTTACAGTCAATTGCGCAAAGTGTGCCCAACAGATCAAACGCCTAGACATTCTGCCTACGCTTTTGCCCAGTCAAACTACGCATAATGCGACAATACATACATATACACAATTATTGATAACTGATTTTGGCAGCATTCGCAACAGATTCATTGTCCGCCAATATTAGGTATGCAGATCGTACGCCCCGTTGTATTGTCTGGAAATTACTGACTTCCCATTTATCATCACCAAACATACGTACGTACATTCGTATTGTCCATGTCAATCAGCATAATTAAGGCGAAATTTAATTCCAGTGATAAGATGTGCTTAGTTAACGGTATACCTATTAGCTTTCTTGTAGCCGACTGTGACACCGGTTAGCCTCAGTGTCAGCGCGGTTTCCGCTGCTCGGTAATGCGTGTATCATCACCAACTACAGCTGGTACTTGGTAAGCGAGTTGAACGATATATGCGACCAATACATATACATACATTTTACACATACACATATCCCTTTCACAATCGTTTTTTTTATGGGGAAAGTATGATTATCTTAACTGTCAAATTGTCACATAACCAAATTTGATTGCACTTGATGTTACTTGATGGTGGAAGTATTTTGGTGTTATGTCATTTTGATATTTGAATACCCAAATATATTAATAATTTGATTTAAAAATAGGCACTTGTAATTTTATAAACAAAAAAATGGCTTTAATTAACCATCGAATGTGGGCATGAACAATCCCACCAATTCTATGTGTCTTCCACCCACTTGATGACAACATGAAGAATTACCTATTATAATTCACTGTAATTTATACTAGAAAGTGGCATACACTTACATATAAATAATATCAAGATGTAATACACAAGATTCAGCTAAGCCGATCGAACCGGAAGAAACTGCTAAATGCCGCTTAGGACTGAGTAATTCAAACGACAAGTAGTTTCACGTGGTTTGAGCAAAAGATATAGTTTCATATTCATTTAGAAATTTACATATTTTACATATTAGTAATTTCACTCAGAGATGTAAATCAACTGACGGTTATAATTAAAATTTAAATCACACAAACATATAAGCATTAATCAAGTAATAATCACCTAAAACAAGCAGGGCAAGGCAGTAGAGATACAAAATGGATTACACTGTTTCTGCGTATTGCTTAGAAACAGCTGCTCAACCCGGTTTCATTAAGTATGAAACTCGGTTTGTTGAAGAGAGCAAGGGGTGAAAAACAAACATCATTGAAATAGAGCCACATGTCTAGTAATTTCATGGCTAAATTTTGTATCTCTGCAAAACTTATACAACTGCGTAAATTGACGATGAACAATAGCGGAACTTCAGCCAAAATATGGAAGCTCTAAAAGCCCATCGACCGCATCATAGCTATTGAGTAAGCTCGTTGCGGAGCAGAGTGGCAGATTTTACGACTCAATCGTCTGACGGATGCCAGCAAAGGCAATGCTTCAAAGTTTCGTCCCCGAGAAAAACTATAGATTCTCCATTCTTTGGGGAAAACTACTTTGAACTGCGTCTTATGTAAACTTTTACGTCTAAAATGACATTAGCGGTGTATAAAATACTAAGCTCAAGGTCTGCGGTTTACGAAATTGTTAGTATTGTGCTCGATGAAAATCGGAAAATATTGAAAACACATTTCCAAAATGGTTACTTTTCTACCGTAACCGTAAGAAAATTACTACTGGGCAATATAACTCGCCTTCCGAGCAGTTTCGCTCACGTGCTTGTGTTCAGTGGCTTTAGAGGAGAGGAGTTCAAAGCGTGCGCGAACAGTCATAAACAAAAACTCGACATCTCATCAGTAGGGAATCAACATTTCGAGCACTTCTTTGTGCATAATTTTGCACAGAGACCGCATATAAAGGCTCACAAAGCCCTTCTGAATATCCGAAGCGATTTCGTTCCGCTGAATGGACTGAAGATCGCTTGTCAGAAGTTGAACACTTTTGTCACAAAATCATCTGATCCGATTAAATTCAATTTCACTTCAACGGCTGTGTTGACAAGCAAATCTGTCGCCGTTGTGTTTCAGAAAGCCCACACAGAAACATAGAAAGGATAATAAAAGCATTCTTATAGAGTAGCAGTTTGGAGTGGCATATAGACCGGCACCGGTATCATTGAGAGATTATTTGTTTTCAAGCCGAGTGTCCTGACGTTGTGTGGTTTCAACAGAACGTTGTTCCGTGCCATACATATAAATACAAATAATTGGCACTTTGTAACCGCTGAAGCTATTTTTCGGGCGAGCACCTCCTCCAATTTGGGGTTTTTGCGTCTTGATGTTTTTCCAACAAATGGAGGGACCTACAGTCTATACAAAGCCGCCTCTGAACGGCTGATGGTTTTTTTTATAATACGAAGAGCCTTTATTTCATGTCTGAAATACACTCAAACAGATGGACGTTTCGTGCCATACAGTCCAAGTTATAATGGATCTTTTGTGAACTGTGTACGAGAATCGCACAACTAACCGAAAGGGCGATCCTCACAACCGCGATTGGCTGCCGTTAAAATACGCTGACCATACAGGGACGTTTCATGACTCGGAATACGAATTAGATGTCGCCATTGCAACTATTGAGAGCCACACAATCGAAAATGTAGTGTTCCATCCTCAACCAAAATGGTGAGGCATTTCAATAAAGGCAAACTTAATAAAAAATATTTAATATTTTCTATGCTTTCCTAATTCAAGGTAATTTTCAAATGATATCATTGATTTCAATAACCCCGCCGGACACTGGGCGAAATAAGATTTTATATTTCATCGAAGAAACAGTGGAGCCGCAACTTAACACTGTCTTTTACAATAATATCTATCTTAGTATTAAGTTTTACTTTGGACTGTGTAAGCATTTGAAAGGAAAATGCTCTCTCGATGAACAAAAACATGATTTTGCAAAATACTAATGACCGTTTTTCTATTAGCGAATGTGTTTAGGCTGTTTGGCCTGTGAAATGGACACGAAAACTATGGATTATAGAGCAGCGGCAATTCGTTAACAATATTAAGTGAAGATGGGAACTAATGAACGTGGAAAACTTATCAAAACTAAATTGCATAGGTGAGTAGACACCGAATTTTTTTTATATAAGTAACTAGTGTCTCGTGTAACTAAAGATCGGTTCTATTCGTACTCAAATCTTCCTTATTGATTCGCATGGAAATCCGATCTCTTATTCGTTATTATTTAATTAAATTCTCTCTTTCTTCGTATCTCTACGAATGAACAATTGTACACACATATGTATTGTATATATGTAAATCAGTAATAAGTCACGTGATCACTTCAGATTGCACATTACTTATGTACATACATGCATATATATATATATATATATTAATATTATATATTACATTTTTAAGGTAAGTAAGTATGTATGATAGTAATTATATATGTAATTGGCCAATAAATCATTTCGTTGACATTTATGAGCTCAGTAACACAACTTTTGTTATGGCAACAGTAAGAACAAATTTAAAATTAATTTATTTAATATATTTGTAATAATGACCCCATAAGATGAAGAACTTCTAAAAAAAAATTACGCTGAGCCATTTCAGGCCACGCAGGTGAAGTACATGGATCATATCACTTACAGTTAGATCTGGGCAGATGTTCGCCTTTCGGCAGATAATTTCAATGCCTTCGAGTGTCTCACAGAAACGCAAATGAAAATCGCTATCTCGCTCCAAAAAGTATGCTTCGATATTTTACACTGCATTAAAAGTATATTTAATATATAAAATAAACACATTAAATGGATAGTTTTCACTTTGTCTTTTGTAATTCATTTTTTTTAATATTAGTTTTTAGACAGCTTACTTAGTGAGATAAAAAATTTCATTATAATTTCAATTTTTACTATGAGAAACAACCTTCATCCGACATGAAACTAGGATTAGATTGGTTTAGTTATTATTTAAATTATTTTTTGTGCTCTGTCTTTGGTATTCAAAAACACGCACTTATAATTGACACAAATTCAGTATTTTCGGTGGTATTTTCGTGGTTTTTTTCTGATATTCATTTCAACTTACTGCCCTTCTGTAAGCAACTGGCCTGGCACAACACAATAAAATAAAAACCTAGTAAACAAAAATGGTATAGATTTTCGCGTAGAAAGCTTTAAAAGTGCAACGTTTAAACTTAAATATATCTGCCAAAAAATAAAAATAAAAATAATAATAAATATAACAAACGCTAATACAGATAATTTTTGAATCCTTAAAGTACTTCTTAAAAAACTTTTTCACTCACCACTCACACTCGATTTTCCGTATATACTCGTACAATATATATGGGTGTATTCAAATTAATTTTTGTTTGTTATACTGTTGCGTTTTGAATACGAGTACTTCCGTTTCCATTACATGTCAAGTCGAGGCCTCTTAAGTACGCGACGGTCAACACCAAATTGATGCGAATCGCGCGCTGAGTCTCGATTTATATACAATCACCGCCATTAATATGGTTTTCGTATTTTCTGTGTAGTATTTTTTTGTTTTTTTTTTTGTTTTTTTTTTTTTTGTTTTTCTTGCACTATATACTCATGCAGTAGCAACAAGTGCTTCAATGTTTCCTTTTGTTTCGCCACTTCACTGTTCAAGTGTTATCCTTACGACAACGACATTTTAAACTGTTAAAGCATGAATAGCTTACATAACAAAAACACAATGTTGAAACATCACACATACACACAGTTACACACACACTATTGATAGAAAGTTAGTCCTCTACAGCACTGTTGTATTCAACCCTTTTAAGTGTCGTAAACTGACTCGATTGCAATCGCTAATTTCTTTCTTCACAGTATTCACTTCAATCAAAAGTTGAGTTGTAGTTGTAACTGTAGTTAATGTTGACTTTGAATCACTCACATTCCATTTACCGTTTGAAGCATTTGTTTGACGTCAATTTGTAATCATAAATGAGTGTTTGGTTGGTGTTTTGATATCATGAATTATGATATCCTTTTTTCTCTGCACTCTTTTAACATCGCATCTTCACTTTTCCTGTTGCCACTTATTCTTACACTAATTATGCATGCAAGCACGTATCTCAGTAAGACGGTGGTTTTTTCAAATTCTCAAAACTCGCGCTTTGTATATGCATTATTCTTTAATTATTCATCTATTGCGTTTTTGCGTAGCTATCTGTGAAGAAATATGTATGTGTTTAATGCATGATTAATTTCATATTTTAAACTTAGCGCTAATTCATTCAAAGCTTATATGAAACTGTAGTAGAAATCGGCATACGCTTAGAATTTATAAAAACTATCTGACTCAAAGCAGAGGATCACTCGTTGAATATATCAATGACGATCAACAAAAGTTTAAACGAGCTGTTGAAGCTGCTCTTCAAAATTTGAATACGAACAGAACTTCAAGTCGTGGAATTGCTGAAAAATATTCGTGTTTTGAACGTAAAAATATATTTATATGCATTGATATCAACGTGCTTGCGTTTTCATATTTTTAATGCATTTATATGTACATATATATAGGTAATTAAATACTTAGTTTCTCTTGAGGTAGCGGTGACGACACTAATCTTTGCCACTACTGTAGGGCTGACTAATCACTGATAATTTATATGTTTCTTTTCTAGTATTTTGAATAATCGGAAAAGCATCGTCGCTCAAGTTCAGATGCAATTGACTTATTTCTTAGCTTTTTTATTACCTAAATACACACACAAATATGTGGAAAATGATTTACGAATGATATCAAGGCAAGGGTTTTGTAAATTCACACCATATCCAACAAATGATGGGACCTACAGTTTATTCTAAGCCGCCTCCGAACGGCCGTTGGATTTGTATGAGAAGATTTGATTTTCATTTCAGAAATACACTTAGACAGCTAGATATTCCTTGCCGAGAGGCGACCGCAATTCGAAAAATGAATTTTCTATAACTCTGTATGTTGGTCGAACCGGTGCTCGAAACCTGACCTTCAGAATGCCAGTACGCAATGCTAACCACTCGTCTATTTCGGTGCAATAACTATTACATTACTACCTAATAATGTAGAGTTTGATTTTTGTTCATCGAGATAGGACTTTACTTCACAGTTACCAACTCAGTCCAAGATAGCCCAATAGCAAATTTCGTCACCGATGAATTAGGTAATATAAAGTAGTAATCCATAATGCGTGGTCGCTGACTTCGACGTTCCATTATCTTCGGAATCCATTATTCAAAGAAGTCCATATATATAAAAAGGGTGATTTTTTAAGAGATATGAGAAAGTTAAAAAAAAAACAAATAATTTACTGTTTGAAAATTATTTCATGCTAATGTTGACCGTGACTGCGCCTCAAATGGTCCATCCGCTTAGTCCAATTTTGGCATACTATTTCCAACACTTCGACCAGTATTTCACGAATAAATCAATCAATGTTATCCTCCGAAGCGTCAATGGAAGCGGGTTTGTCTTTATAGACATAAGATTTAACATAGCCTCACAAAAAATAGTCCAAAGGCGTTAAATCGCTCGATCTAGGCAGCCAAACGACCGATCCCGAACGTGAAATAAAATGTTCACCGAACTCGCCTCTCAATAAGTCCATTCTTACGCGTGCTGGGTGGCATGTGGCACTGTCTTGTTGAAACTATAAGACATGCAAGTAAAGCTCTTGCACATTGGGCAAAAAAGTGTGCTACCATCTCAGGGTACCGCACCAAACTGTGACTTTTTCTAGATGCATTTGTAGCTCTTGCAATGCTTCGGGCTGATCTTCACTCCAAAATCGACAATTCTGCCTATTTACGAACCCATTAAACCAAAAATTACCTTCGAAGCACGCGTGGAAGAAGCGCGCGATGAACTTTCTGAACAGAGTCCTCATTTTGATAATAAAATTCAATACTTTGCACGCGCTGCTCGTTTATAAGACGATTCAAAAAAAAAAGCTACTCATAAAAAAACCAGCAGTTTTTCGGGGTCGGCTCAGTTAAAATTGTAGGACCCTCCATTTGTTAGAAAAACCAAGTTTAAATAGATTTAAAATGAAAACTATTTCAATACTCTACATATTATATGTATGTATATCTTGCATTACCACAAATCAAACATTTGCATATACGAGTACGTTTTAATAAATTCTAAAACTCACGTACGATCTAAAAATAAGCATTGACAACTCTCATTGATAAGCAACACAATTTTGAATGAAAACTTCCTTTTGTAGTACTACTTACTCGATCGCCTATAATCCATTATATGGTTTTTAATATTATTTATATATGTATGCATAATAGAAATTATAACACTGGTCAACAAAGTTGAAACTTTTCTTATCACAAACAGTAATTTATTTCTCCATGAAGGTGACGTCAAAACATCAGACGAAACAAAAAAATACAAAAATCTATACTTAGAAAAATTGCATTGCTTATCAAAAACAATCTGCTAGCACACCTAGTGTGAATAGTTTTTGAGTTATAGCAAATTAAAGAGCAGCCGCTCGGCAGCTAGAGAGTCTCATTACAGTCAGAGTAAAAACGATCATTTTATCTTTAAACGCAGTTTTTTTTTCGAAACAGCATTTTCCGAATTTGCTGCAGTGATTACTCAAAAATCCGATCACTATCGATTTTTTTACATGTTCTATATATAGTTCTCCGTACAGTGACCTATCGATTTTTTATCTGATCAAAAAATCGAATTTTAGCAGGCCAAAAACGACAAAAATTTTGGCAAAAATTCGACTAGTTTTTTTTTAAAACGCCGTCTTATTGTCAATTTTTGATTTTTTTATCGTAGGTCATTGTGCAGACAATATTATCTTATCGAGAATTTTTTTTTTTAGATTTCATCCACGGAGAAGGCCGTAATCACTGCAGCAGTGAAGGTCCTTTTTTTCGCGCCGTTGGAGATCGACTATAACTTAGAAAATAATTATTTTTTTTCTTCAAAAATTTCAGTGTATATTATTGAAACATGTATAAATATGTTCTTAAAATTTTGAAATAATTGATAAAGTATTTTTTTTTTTAATAAAAATTCCCAAAAATCACCTTTTTTTGGGCCATTACACTAGGTGTGCCCCTTAAGTAAATGTCCTGATGGAAGATCTTTGTTCGTCACTCACAGCACCCAAATTTACGAGTTACAATATCCAAATGACACTCCAACATATGCATTTCTATTGACGTATTACACCTCAAATCTGTATATTAGGTCAAGTAAGAAGTTCGTTCCTCAGGTCCTGATGGACCTGTCACCAAGTGATAACCAGCTTTTACTGTCAATGATGAACGCGCTTAATGGTTAGAAGTTGGCCTCAAGAGAGGTCTGTGAAAATTGGCTCTCCGAGTTTTTTGCCTATAGGGACTCAGCTTTCTACGAGCAACGTTGGCAACAAGTTTACAAGCAAAACGGTGCTTATTTGGCTTAAATCGGACAAAGTTGTTTGAAAAATCAATAAAAAACCGAACGAACTTTTTACTTGATCTAATAATTTCCAGAACTATGAATTTCAAGAAAGTTCTTGATAGCTTTCATAAAATATTGCCAGACAAGTTTTGCCTTCCTTTATCAATTGCCGTAATAGTGAGCCTACAAATATCCTCCCCTTAATTTTGGCCTCCACCATCGACACTACTTACAATAGGATTAGTCATTTCGGGGTTGTTGTTAGAAGTCTCATACGCGTTACAGAGACTTTATGTGGAAGCCAGTATTCATCAGGACTCCTCACAGGAAATCCAAGTCCAACTCCGAGATTTGCGAGTTAATTCCCCACACACTAAACAGAACACTTTCAAAATGTAATAAAAGTTAATTAAACAGTTATACCGTCGACTAAATTAAGTTATTCATTATGTGAGTGTACCAAAGTTCGAGTTTTGGTTCGAAGAACATACAAATGTTATAGAAACTTTGGCAAGAAAATCATAAAAAGGAAAAATCAAACGAAAATCTCTTCATAAAAACCATAACCCGTTCGGCGGTAGTTTAATATAAACTGTAGGTCCTTCAATTTGTTAGAAAAATATCAAAACGCACACCACTAATTGGAAGAAGATCGCTACAAAGCCTCAATTATTATTATTTGTTGAGAAATTCGCATGATGATACACTGGCATAAACAAAAAAGTTCAAAAAGTTCGTGTGACAAAAACAGTGTTTACCAGTGTAATCTTCACTTGGAAAGAATCAGTGGCTTTGACCTACATACTTACATTAACTAGACTAAGTGTGTACTAGCGTACAGAATGTCTCGTTTAATTGATGCTAATATGTCAAAACACTTAATTAATAAAACTCCAAGGCGTGAATTAAACATTACTTGATATGTATGTATGTATATATTAATAGACAAATAATATATTTTCACACACAGACTTATGTGTTTTTTAATTAATGTGTATAAATAGGTTTGCGAAAAGCTTATTCACTTTAATTACATACTAACAAAGACAAGTGGTAACATATGAAACATATGAGAAAATGATAGTGTGGATCTGAGGTCAAAAATCTGTTAATTGTATTTGTTTGGGCACTTGGTTGAAGGAGATTGCCTTACAAATTTAAATATTTATTTATTTCAGTAATAAGCCATTTGAATGCTTTCATTTTTTTTGATTTCCACCTCCATGGGCATTAACCCTATATACATACGAGTATATACATATGCATGTACGTTAAGTTTATTATCAAAAATATATACACGGATGGGGCCATGTGTAGAAGTTCACTCAAATGAAGAAATGAAACGATGTGCATATGGTTCAAGCAGCTAAAGACTTCCGGTCTTATACCAATTATCCCTTGGGTAGCCAATAAAGGCCTGTTTGGAGGCGAGCTAAAGTGAGAATGCTAATCCAATGCGATTGTGCGTAGGGTAGGACACAAACCACATGAAAAAATTATCCAATAAAAAATGCCTCGGATGAAATGACACTCTATTGCGGACGACCCCCGCAACATTTTTAAAGGCTTACGATTTAAGGGCATGCACCTGGAATGTGCGGTCCCTTAATTGGAAAGGCCGCTGCCCAGCTGGTGGTATATGTCCTCAGAAAATTAAATGTTGACAACACCGCCGTCCAAGAAGTACGATGGATGAGACAACGACGGAAGGTGGGTCCTTCTGACGTTTTATGCAGTGGCCATATAATGGAGATCAAATTTGGTGTCGGATTCGTAGTGGGACAGAGACCCTCTTTCAGCGTCCGGGTATTTAGCCAGGTGGA